CTTAAGGCGAACTTTTTGCGGATACTTTTTGAGGTGATGCGACGAGTGATTTACAGTTTCGGCCGCGCAGATTTACAGCTCGGTTTGTTGTTGCTCTACGGGGAGACGAGAACTGATGTTAATTCGGTCTCTTTTTCCCTACTTTTTCGGTTTGCTCGCTAGAGAAAAATCGAAGGTTGCTCACGCTTCCAGAACCACCCTTTTCATCCATTCAACAATTAACGATACCTACCACTCCTTTATACATGCATTGAATAAATGATTTAATTTTAAACATTGCTCATTCTATGTATATTTTTAATAGAAGTTGTGGTGACCCTTAGAAGATTTCTTTGGTTACAAATGTACGTAATTAACCAAACAAAAACACTCCGACAAACTTTCCAGATAAAAATAACATTTTTTTAGCCGACGAAATTTATCTAACTAACGCAGCAAACGGGAAAAAAATACAGTTAACATTCCGCCCTCGGCTGTATAAATCCACTGAAAGCCGGGCGCCGACGCACCGCTTTGATCGTTCACCTCTGCCGTTTCAGCCCGTGACTCATGTATGATGGTGATTGAATGACTTGATGGATATCTGCCATTAGCAGTGACAGTTTTAAGACTTTCCCATTCCTCCCCGCCCGGCGTACAGCTGCCCTACAAACAGCGGCGCTCCCAGCCACTTACCCAAAAGGACACATGTTCGTCGAATAGAATATTTTCATTACACACATTAATTGTTGATCAATAATAAAATGTACACAATATTATAGCAGTTTGACTACTTTGTACGAGATATTTATAATTTTATTGAAAAAATCCTCTTCATCTGGTCAACTCATTCTAGTTCCTCAAATGAATTCCAGTGTTTATATAGTATTGGTTTTTTTTTTAATTGCTTAACATGTTACATTGTTTAGGTGGGTTACGCCCCTGCAACCCCATCAGTCCGTCTCTTCACATTGTAGTACAGCAACTGTCAGATCGTTCGTCTATTTAATGTCTGTTGCGAAGACGACAGCGCCGTTATAATAGCGCGATGATTGCTTCAGTTGTCGCAGGCCCATTTCCTGCGCCTTATCTCGTATACAAGGTGCTGCGAAATTCGCAAAAACCGCGCGAAATCCGCGAGTTAATCGCCATTAAAAAAAATTGTTTAAACGGAGCTTCCGAATGGAATTGACCCGTAAAAAATCGGGGATGACTGAAGATTAATGTTGCGGCTGCTTCGGAATTCACTCGCACCTCTCCGGGCTGTCATCGAGACAATCAACAATCAGTCGAACGGCGTACAGCCGACCTCAAAATAACAAAAAGCCGATCCTCGGTGACTGATTGCAGTCATTTACCCCTTGCCAAGCGGCGTTTGGATCCATAGACAACTATCGGTTGCTTTTGTACGTTCGACAATCGGCTACTGAATTATGTATGGGTATTAGCGCTGCTTAAAAGGAACGAGCGGTTTGTTGTTCACCAACAAAAATACGCCCAAAAGCTTAAATGTAAACCGAATCGACTGCCATCAAAAAATTACATAACAGCGTAGCGCTTTTATCCGGTTAATTAATTAACATTCGATTATAGCGAAAAACAAATATCAAGCAACCCCTCCTCTTGTAAAACGAATTCAAACACAAACGAGACATAAAAGGCTACACATCCTATTCACAAACGAACCTGATCTGATCTCTGATCCGCGATCTCAGGCAATGTTCCGCCTGAAGCTAGACGATATCGTTCCGCATATACGCCGAGTCTATTCCTAGCATAGACGTACCCAGACGATTAATTTCCTTTGTAATTACACGAAAACTTTTAATTAAATGACGACTGCCATCAAAATAGTTCGGCTTAAGACTTGATAATTCACAATTAAAACCTACACAACCTGCTCAAATACAATGTTTCCTGCTTCAACCACTTATTGTTAAACCACAGTTCATTCCAAAATACCGCCCAAAATACAACTTCTTATGATTCTTCTCATCATCATTCGAAGAATTCGAAGTTCGAAGTTCTACTCGCAAATTTACCCTTTGCAAGTTAGTCATCGGACCTCTATGGGCGTTTGTCTTTCTCCCGTCGACGTACAACGTTAATCCTCCCCAATTTATTAACGACAGGTCAAAAATAACCGAACCAGCCGCGGGCGAAGTCTTTGTAAACGCGAACAATTCCATCAGCGGCAGTCGGAGCAAAGGCAGCCAGCAACAGGAACGCTCCGCGATGGAAAGAGGACGAGGTTTCCTTTCTCCTCGTTGCGTTGCCGCGAATTCTACGCGCCCATTAGGCCCGTCTACGCGGAGGGGAAAATGCGGTTAGAACATCAGGAAATTGTGAAGTTAATTGTGTACTTTTTTGTATTCATTGCATTGGTTGGAAAGGTCCCTTTGGTCTTAGTTTTAATGGGTTCCTTATGGTAAACTACACAAGTTCTTGTTTCTTAGTCAAAGCTGTGATGGTTCAATGATACGTAAGAGGACATTAAAACTTTGTATGGAAAATGAGATGGTACTAAAGAAGAAGCTACTACATTTAAGAAGATATCCTAAATATTCCTTAGTTCCACAGGTTTCCTGGGCTCTTCTAACTACTCAACTATCTGATTTGGTATAGTTCCTATAGTTTTGCTAAACGTTTTAATTGGTTTGGAAATGGAATAATTACTGGCCTAAGACCCTTATAACATCGATGGATACCATAAATATAGCACGTTCTCTGGTCTTTGAGCGTTTTAATAATGCATCCACCGCCTGTACCCACGATCCCCGGCATTCGCTCACTTTTCGTCTCTGAGTGTCTTTGAAATAGCGCTCGTGTCAGCACCAAATGAGGTAACAATCACATCAAACGGTTGCCGGAACAATCGAAAGGAATTAGATTAAATTAACTTTAGCCGGTTTTCTCAAAGAGAGCGAGTTAAAAATTAAAAACGTTAACCGATTCGCGTTTAACCTCGCCGTATATTCGAAATTTAGGGGCGTTCAATTACGGAGTAAATTAATAGCGGTTGGAAAAAAATCAATTTGATAGATACAATCGGGGTAAATGATGCTTGGAGAGTTTAGTTAATAGAGCAGATACAAATCCTCCGCTAATACATCTATCGGATGAATTATCGAATATCGAGCACGTTTGTACTAAAAAATTAATTAATCGTATATTATTAACAAATGAAACAATTATTAACGTTTTCCCATCAAAGTGTGCAATCGCACATAATTATTATTTCTTTGATACTTGAAATCACGATTAAATTTGACAGACGACTGAACAAATATGCCCGTTTCTAAAAGCGCGGGTTTCGTGAGCCACATACGTGCATATGCATCGAGTGTACTGTCATTTTCATGCGATTTAAACAATGCAATTTTATCCATGGTCGATCAAACCGACGTTACTAATAACTAATTATGAACTCGACAATTGTTGCTACAGATACGTTTCCAGGAGGAATATGCCTGAATAATCGAATGATACACTACTGAAGATTATTCTAACAAAATTTAAATAATCGCTATAATGAGCTCAATAATGGATGAACGTTGTGGATGATTTTTTTTGTGGACGAGTAAACCTATCGCGCCGGTTGAAGAAATAAATGAACCCAGCCTAAAACCCACCCTGATTCCCGCTCGCATTATATTTTCAGTAGCAGTGGCGAAGCTAAAGTTTCTGAGTGATGGATTCGTAAGCCATCACAATCCATCTTGTCAAAGACACTACCTTTCTCATATCCGTCACTGTCCGCAATTTTCGTCTCTTGTGAGTTACGTCCGTCATTCGGCGTCCTTTCCTATAATTCACCGACGCACCACCGCCGCCCCCCCGGCCCCTCGTCAACCAGGCCAGATCAATACGTTATGACTGACTGCATTTCATACCGTGTTCTTTGCACACGAAGCAATTAATTATACGAATATTTTTTTATTGTTGAGTAGTATCGTGTGTAGGTTAAACACCCGCATAGGACCGATTGAAGTACCTACACTTATGCGGTTGAATTAAATGGAATGTCGACTTTAGCATGGAATCAAAATCGGAAGTAATATCGAATGACAGCGTCACCTCACGACGTCTCGGCGCGCTACCCGTTCCCGATCCCCATTCCGGTCAGGGAGGAAAAGCGTCGATGACGCGACACCTCCGCCCAAAAAGCGATTCCCATTCCTACTTCCTAATGAAATAAGTTTCCTAATTAACCGAAATCTTTGGCAACCGTCAATCTTTTCTGTCTTTCTGTCCGCTTCGCATTATTTCCCTCTCTCCCGGATCGCCGACACCTTATCGGACGTCTATCACTTTTCGCGATCGGCGTCGCGACGGCCGCCCGCCCTTCCTCGTATACGGAGAGGCTATTACGATTTTTCGACTTCTCCGTCTTCCGAATTCATAATCGCGACGCACCGATGCCTCGTTTTAATGCGTTTAACAGCTTTCGTGCGGTCGACGGATTTTTGCGGATTTTTAATTCGAAGTCCGGGAAAAAAAAAGGAATTACAATGTCCGAGTAACTTTCCGGTCGCGGTTGATTGGAAGCGCGGAGTTTTTTGATTTTTTCCGAAAAGTTTTAGAAAATGTTTTTGGCATGTTGGGGAATTATCTTGACTGCCCATCCAGCTGGTATCATGTGTGCGCTTTATTTTTTCCCCGTTGATTAAAAATCTCCTGGTCATCGGGTAACTGGGAGTCGATTAATTGTGAATTTTATTAGATGTATAATATACAAGAAATCTATATCTACAGGTACCCTTGGTAGATTATAAAATCCTCCAAAAAATATGCAGGTATTAAAATTCGGGGAATTACTACTACTTAGTCCAAACGGATGTTTTTCGTCATTACGATTTATTACGATTCACTGTAATCACTCGCGTGATAAACAGTGCATTTCGGTTCCCATATATGCACTGTATCAAGCCCAAAATCGGAGTTTACACACCGTAAAATACGCTTAACGGAAAATTACACGCTAATTGTCCATATAAACGAGTAGGTAAATCCCGTTAATATTCAGTCTCTAAGAATTTAATTATAGATTTCCCATACACACTTCATTACAGTAATTTTTAACATCAAATAAAGTAAATAAGTAGTTAAAATACTTTAATAAAAATAATCTTAAAGTTTCGTGTTAATGAAATTATCTAATGTTCCGGTTAATTCGTCGACTTTTTTGTTGATGGCCTCTTTTATGACTGCAATCTTGTCTCTAAATATGATCGTCTGCCTGATGGTCTCGTCGTGGATTTCCTCCACTTTGGATTCGAGCTCGGCCAGTTTTTCAGGCGTAGTTAGCGACACCACCTTCGACGACTTGAAGAATTTCTCGGACGTCTCCAAGTCGGAGAGCAAAGTGTCGTTCACGTCCTGATACTCCACCAACTTCTCCTCCACCTGCATGAACATCCTGTTCAGATCTTTGATGGTGCTGATGGCCGACTCGTCCTCGCTGTCCTGGTACCGGGTGCCCAGCTCCATCAACCTGCTTTTGAGGACGCGCAAGTGCGTGCTGATGTCCTCTTGGTTCCTCTCGGCCATCATGTGCATTCGAAGGCCCTCTTCCAGCTTCTTCTCGGTCTTGCTCAGCACCTCTTGGATGGTGGCCATTTCCGGAGACGTTGCGATTTGCGGTATGGTCACTGAATGTACAGAATACACGGCGAATTTTTTGAAAATTTTTTCGGGTAATTGTGACATGTGTACGGGAATTTCTTGACAATTGGTGAAATGTATCGATCGATACAGAGTGATTCACTCCTAATGGACCATTATCATTTGTTTTTTTTTTTCAATTCTTCTATTTTGTTATAGTGGTTTCTTCTGTTGGTGCATTATCTCTCGGGTTTTATTCGAGGCACCCTGTATATTGTGAGGCTTCGTACGCCGCTGAGGCTTATATTGGTGATATTGAAATAATGATTGACCGTCCATCACGATACGTACAGATTATTGGTCGTGATAAATATGTCGACGTGAACATGCATCAATCAGACATGTGTATTATTTACGATGACGATTGAAATGTATGGAGGAATCGTAATTATTCATACCGGTGACATTTCCTATACAGCGTGATGTCCCGCGGGATATTTATAAAATGTTCGATGCAAAAATGGATTTTGTCAATCATGCGATTGGGCGTTTTAGAAAGAATTAGCGATGAAAATGAAATTAAACTATTTTGAATAATTGAGTGCTGTTAATTAGATCGAATTAAATTAAGTGAGTTTTTGTAATTAAATTGTGTACGAAATAAACATGGCGTAAATACGCAAAACCTTGAAGTGTACGAGGTGATACGGCTCATTTCTTCCATTTTTTTGTACGTCTTTTTCAACTCTCCATGTTATTTCGTGTACGAAACGGTCGCGTTACGTTATAAAGTTATGAGTAACAAGGATGGCAACACGCTTATTTATGTAGTATAATTGACGTAACCCAGGATTTATGTTTCCTCTGTGAAATTAGAGAAGTCTCTCGAAGTGAAACTCACATAAATAGGAAGATACGTCTCGTAGATATCCATACTATTACTTACCGATGCCTAATCTCCTAAATGATTGTTAATGGACGCGGAATTAATCTAATTAATATCGATTATTTAAGGTTTGTAGTTTTCGATCAAACACATTAGTCGGTGCAAAACAAACATCAATGCACGTCACCTATAATTTAATACGTCACAAGTAGGCAGTGTTGTCAAATTTTTAGAGTTTAGAAAATCTAAAAATTTTCTAAAATTATTAAATGGCAAAATCACAAGAACAAATTGAAAATTAGAGGTAACCGTTTCACGTTTCTAAATGCCGGATGTATTTACGGGCTCGCTATAATTAATCATCAAATTCTTTTATTATCTGAAATATATTGAACAGTGTGAGTAAAAAAATTAGTTCACAATTGAACCTTAAAAGAGTACATAGTGAAATTTCCCAGAAAAATTCTGAATCTGAATTATTTAGAACTCAAACTGTGTCATTTCTAACATATGGAAAAGATAACTACGTAAAAAATTATCACTTCTTGATTATTTGGCTGAATAGCCTTTATATAGTAGTTGAGGCTAGTAAACTAGAAAAAAGAAGAAATTGAAAATTTAAAGTACCGATCTAGTAACCTACTATAAGAAAATCATAATAATTTTATATACAAACGTTGAATTTTGACCATATTATATTTTTTGGGATGATTTAATTGTGTTTTTTTAACATATTCTATCATCCCTTGTTAATATTTAAATTAAATTCTGCACGTATTAAGCTTAATCTATTTTGTGTATTTATTTATTTTTATAAGTTGGTCACAATGCTTGGCAAGTATGATGACAGTAGTGACGTGCATTGATTTTTGTTTTGCACCGACAATATCTACCAATTTACTTAAAATAATGCAACAATTTATATCAGCACTGAAAACCTATTTATGAAAATTTAATAGAAATATATATTAACTTACCCAACAAACTACATATGTATGCTTAGATTAAGTCAGTTATATACAAAAAAAAACAATTAATTCAATTATACTACAATAAGCAGTCGTGTTAAAATAAAACACAGGTGAATATTCATTCAATATAGGTAATATTTCAAATATCCTCACGGACCTTACCGATTCATTTGACGATATGAAAAACTATAAAAATGTTTTATAGTCTTACATTCTGCAACCGTACGTGTACAAACGAGTGCGGACTAAACATAAGGAATCGTAACCCAGAATTACGATCTGGTAACTGCCGAGTTATGACCAACAAAATACTTCCAGTATTGCGCCCTAACCCTCACCATGAATAAATAACCACTTATAGATTCATACCGCGTGGAATATTTTCTTTCAATAACCTTCTGATGTATCGATAACCGTACCTACTATTTGATTATACCTAAATGCAATTAGGAATATTTTAAAAGCATAAATTACGGTTACTGCAGTCTTATTTTTACTGCTCGCGATATGATTTATAGCAATAAACTTTATTATGTACTTTTAATATCAGTAAAATACCAATCATTATTTATGTCCTAGCAAGGAAAAACAATCACCTCTTTAAAATTACGAGCGATTATGTAAATATGCCTTCGGATACTTTTAAATTAGGTTAAAAACAACATAAAATTAATGAAAGTTGAAGCTGTCGCATTTTTGTTTTATGCACTCGGAAAAATCAATGTGCAATATAAAAAAAATCGATTTACGTATAAATTTGAGGTCGAATAAGTACAACCCAATGTTTTTTAGGTTGTTCAGCCACATCCGAGTAGCATCAACTTAATTTTTACTGCTATTTAACAGACTGTTAAAATGACTCGTTAAAACTCCACCGGTTAATTTACTCTTTAACTGCCTACAGGAACTTTATAATGTGCGTCAATCAAATTCAGCACGAACGTTTAAATAATATTTGCTTTTTTTCACAAACGAAACGACGGCCCATCGTTGAATCGCTGAAATTACCAATCAGCCCGGGGGATCGGATTGTTTGCGCAATAATTATTTGCGTATCTTTATGGTAAAACGCATTCGAATTAATTACAAATTTACAGAAACGTTACTTACGGAAAAAAGTCATCGACTTGTAAACAGACTCATGACATTTTTGACAGCACGATTACGGCTTATCATTCATTAAAACGATGTAGTATTTAAAGCAAGTAGTCAGCCATGTTAATTCTTTCATTAAGTTTGCAGTCGAGTGGAAATATAATAAGAATAGAATCAAAAGAAATTTCGGTCTCTGAAGAGACGAGGAAAATTTATCGGCGTTATCCGAATATCTAATGACAGCGCTTTAAGAATGTTTTATAGGACATCTGTGTCATATTTCTGAATTTAAACGTGACAAACGGTCGCGGGACCAACACAATGCTCGTTTTTAATTATAATTTCGTTTGATAGATTTACGAGGAAGAGCGCTGTCGGGTTTGTTGGACGCGGAAACGTTAATGGGCTTCATAAATAGTTTTCGGGACATGTCATTCCTAGCGGTGATATTGAGTTTATTAACCCAACTAATCAAAATTTCACGCATAAAAAGCCGGAGTAAATATATCGAATACGCCCCTGGCGTTGCTGCAGATGGATAGGAGCAATATTGACGCTCTCTGTCCGTCATAATGAAAGGCTCAATCAATGCCACCGGTTGGAATGAGGATGAAAATGACTGTCTTTTCTCTTCTCGTTCGATATCGTTCTCCATGTTTCTTTCCATGTCGTCTAATTATTTTTAACAAAGACACGCCCCGTACATATTGATTCGATTAACTGCTTTAATAACAGTTAATTTGTAACTATTTTTCCTATACCTTTATAAAATAGCGAAATTCTGAACACGCTCAATATCTCAAATGAGCACACTGTATAGCGAATGCAAACAGAAATGATGGCGTTTAACAGCACTAAACTTTTACGATACAATACTTTCGTTTTATTATTAGAACGCGGCGCGTAATTTTCGCTAATTTATTGTATCAACGGAACACAATTGGATTATAATTCGTGCAATTCTTTGTGTGCAGCGCGTTATGGTCGTCGATAATGGAGAATCAATATACACGCCGGTGTATCGGCTGAGCGGTGAGCATTACACACGTTTTGTTCTCTTCATTTTCAATAACAACAATTCTCTGTGATCAAACGAAATACCAACGGTAAAGAGCCCCACCAAATACAAGATACTTATGAAACTAAATACCGAAAATGTATTGTATTGAAGGCTAAATATTAAAATTATAACATTAGTTTGGTGCAACTTACTTTTACAACATACCTTTACCACTACATAGGTTAGTGGGTATGTACTAGGAATTTATAATTTATTATTTTTTATAGCAATGAGATTTTGAGTCATGGTGGAAGACTAGGATCATTTCTGGATTCAATTCAAACAAAGGTGATACATTTGATGATTTATCTGATTAACATATTTAACTAAAATATTCTGTTATTGTTGGTTTTAAAGAGAAAATTAGAAGTAACAATGGGTGTTAAAAAAGCTATCCAACCATATACACGTTGAAATGAAGTCGGGAAAGTACGATGATCGGCTTTTTCTCCCTTTCTGTCCCTCGATACCCTCGGTAAATATACTGCATATTGAGGTATTAACATTTATCGAGTCCGGGACCATCAAACTCCGGGACCCTCGACTCTTCTTCGACACGTACCGCCATTTTCACACAACTACGGGGATAAATTGGAATCCCCGGGAAATACGACCGGTTTTTACGGTCCTCTTCCATCTCTTGCACTTTTCCACGAAGGTGTGAATTACTGGAAAGCGTCGCAGGGGTGACGGTTAATGTATACCGGAATCCTAAAAGAGGAGGAGGATTTCAAAAAAAAAATCGACAGTTAACGGCCGGCAGGATTCGGTCATGCAATCTTCCTGGACCATCTCTGTGTCGCCGTATGGTAATTAGGCCGCAATTATGCGGCATATGTCTCTATTATAGGGACAGCGGACCCTTGTACCTTGTCTCAGGTGCGACTGATTTACGGTCTCGTGTCGCCCTGTCTATCTTTCACTTCCCTAGTGACTGATGGTGTGACGTTTCCACATCCGCTCTGACTATATTATTCAAGACGTACGTTGGCTATCTCTCACTCTCTTCTGACATGCACTGCCATTCGCAACGTCCGTCCTGATGTAAATCATTCAGCGTATGACCCGATGATAACGAACTAGGTATAAGGTAATCGCATTTTAGTTAGTATTGTGTATTCACGATTCGTTGTACAGGTTG